CATTAAGATAGCCCCAAATCCTTCCGAACTAGCATCCGTATGTAGTTCTATTGGATAATTGGGGCCAACTTGTATTGGATAATTGTGGTCAAATATCATTAGCACCGGCTCATTGGTCAGAATAGAAATTACTTTTTGCCTGATTTTTTCGTGTTTATCCGTCCAATTTATGTTCTTGCTACCGGAAGTGAGTGCATACAAAGATTTCATTACCTGTGAGAATTTAGGAACAAATTTTCGAAAGTAAGAAGCTAGACCAATGAATTGCCGGAGCTGTGTGACGGTCGTCGGTGCGGGTAAGGAGATCAACGCTAGTACTTTACCTGGACGGACTTCTCCGTTATGAATCACATAACCCAGATAAAGTACTGACGTCTTCAAGAAGGAGCATATAGAAAAGTTAAAAGGGATTCCGGCGTTTACGAGGGTATCTAGGACGGTGTTTAATCTTTCTAACTATCTATCGCTTCGGCGATAATTAAGACATCATCCAAATAAACGACAACATATGAATAAGCAAGGTCACCTAAGGCATTGAAAATGGCCCTCTGAAAAACAGACGGTGCATTCATCAATCCAAACGACATCGTCATGTATTCGTATTGACCATCGGGAGTAACGAACGCGGTATATTCAGTCGAATTCGGGTGGATAGGGATTTGGTGGAACCTGGAGGCCATGTCCAGGCTTATAAAGTATTTCGCCCTTTTCAGTCTCGCGATCTGGTCAGCTATGAGGGAAAGGGGCTACCGATCAGCGACGGTGTTTTTATTTAACGCTCGGAAGTCTACACATAATCTATCCGAGCCATCCTTCTTTTTTACAAGTAATATAGGGCTTGCGAATGGTGAACTACTCGGTCTTATGATTTTTGCTCGGATCAGTTCGCCTATCCTCTCTCGGACTATTCTCCGCTCCTCCTCGCTGAGTCTATAAGGACTTCGTTGCACGGTGACGTTGGGATCAATTAAACGAATTTCTAATTGGCCCGTATTTACACGAGTCCGCGGGAAACCCGTAATAAATGACTCTTTGAATTTTTCGAGAACAGAAATCAATCGATCTTCACCACCTGTAAACCCTGTCATTCAAGTGTACCTTATTACTGGATGCTTTCAAGGAGTTGCAATCAGTGACAACAAGAAATTCTCGTCCATGGAGGTAATGACGGAAATGCTTGATGACGTTTACCACTGCCAGCGTTTCTAACTCATAGGAATGGTATCTAGATTCCGCAGGGCTAGTCCGCCTGCTGTAATATTCGACTACTCTATTTTTACCTTCGACCTTATGCATTAAGATAGCCCCAAATCCTTCCGAACTAACATCCGTATGTAGTTCTATTGGATAATTGGGGTCAAATATCATTAGCACCGGCTCCTTGGTCAGAATAGAAATTACTTTTTGCCTGATTTTTTCGTGTTTATCCGTCCAATTTATGTTCTTGCTACCGGAAGTGAGTGCATACAAAGATTTCATTACCTGTGAGAATTTAGGAACAAATTTTCGAAAGTAAGAAGCTAGACCAATGAATTGCCGGAGCTGTGTGACGGTCGTCGGTGCGGGTAAGGAGCTCAAGGCTTGTACTTTACCTGGGTTTGGACGGACTTCTCCGTTATGAATCACATAACCCAGATAAAGTACTGACGTCTTCAAGAAGGAGCATTTAGAAAAGTTAAAAGGGAATCCGGCGTTTACGAGGGTATCTAGGACGGTGTTTAATCTTTCTAACTATCTATCGTATCGGCGATAATTAAGACATCATCCAAATAAACGACAACATATGAATAAGGAAGGTCACCTAAGGCATTGAAAATGGCCCTCTGAAAAACAGACGGTGCATTCTTCAATCCAAACGGCATCGTCATGTATTCGTATTGACCATCGGGAGTAACGAACGCGGTATATTCAGTCGAATTCGGGTGGATAGGGATTTGGTGGAACCCGCTGGCCATGTCCAGACTTATAAAGTATTTCTTTATAAAGTATTTTCAGTCTCGCGATCTGGTCAGCTATGAGGGGAAGGGGGTACCGATCCGCGACGGTGTTTTTATTTAACGCTCGGAAGTGTACACATAATCTATCCGAACCGTCCTTCTTTTTTACAAGTAATATAGGGCTTGCGAATGGTGAACTACTCGGTCTTATGATTTTTGCTCGGATCAGTTCGCCTATCCTTTCTCGGACTATTCTCCGCTCCTCCTCGCTGAGTCTATAAGGACTTCGTTGCACGGTAACGTTGGGATCAATTAAACGAATTTCTAATTGGCCCGTATTTACACGATACCGCGGGAAACCCGTAATAAATGACTCTTTGAATTTTTGGAGAACAGAAGTCAATCGATTTTTATCGTTACCAACTACATCAGTGTCGACCTCGTTAATGTTGACCGCATCTTTCGCGACTCTGCTACAAGCGTTAACCATTTTTGTCTTACAAATATCGACACTGTTTCGTGTAACATTTACGTCGAAACCTTGGCTCAAAATTTCACGACCAATCATGATATCGTATTTTAAGTAATTATCAGCAAGGGCATGAAAAGTTATCTCCAATGTAAAACCGTCAATACATACAGTGGATAAGATCTGAGATGTACTGTTAACACAAGTATTCCCTATGCCTCGCATTACTACTACATCAGTCGTTCGTTTGCCAGAAAATTTCGAGGCTACGGATTCTTTGATTAATGAGCATTCGGCTCCGGAATCGAAATAAAATGGGATCGACTCACCCAGATGACTTAATTTACCAGCTGGAGGCTCTACCACGCAGGAGTCGACTCGACGTTCGTTCTTGAAGCCGGGTTTTCTGTTCTGCAGTTGTGGACAATCAGGCGATATGGCCCTTCGCGCGACACTTGAAGCAAACCACCTTGGACGATGTGGCTGGGCGGTTTCTTTCCTGGTGTCGTGTATCGTTCCGCTGTTCGCTACGCATCCTCTTGCGGCACTCCGTTATTTTGTGTCCGTGAGTACCACAATAATGGCACTTCACCCGGTGATGCGATAACTTGCGTCGTTTAGCTTCAGGTTCCTCCGATGTATTTTCTAACGAAGATGTCGGCTGATCGTTGTAAGGAAGAACTCTCATTTCATCATAAAATTGATCCTCCGTCTTGATATTATTTGCGAGCGTTAATCGTTGAAAGTGTTGATCTTGTGAGCTTAGCATATAAAGGGCTAAGGCACTGATTACTTCGGGCATCGTTAGATCTTGCAACTTCATCTGCAACATGGAACGGAGGCGACTACCATAAGCTCCTGGGGTTTCGGTCTCCGACGGTCTTTCTCTGGATATCATTATTAACGCCGAGGCGGCTGTCTCTCTGCCACCAAAACGCGAAAGGAATTGTTCCTTAAACGTTGGCCAGGAAAGCTTTCCACCGCGCACTATTTGTGAAAGCCAATGCGCAGCAGACCCCTTTAGGGCGCGATTTAGAGCAGAAAGTAATGCACTATATCGTATCGGGAAGTCTTTCAAAATCACATCTGTATATGAGTACCACGCGGATGGAACAGCGCCCGTGCCTTCAGGGTCAAAACGTGGTAACGTTACATCCTTATGTTCCGTACTCGGTCTTTGCTCTATATGAGCACCGCGCGGATGGATCAGCGCCCGTGCCTTCAGGGTCAAAACGTGGTAAGGTTACATCCTTATGTTCCGTACTCGGTCTTTGCTCCCTTGGCTGAGTTAGCCGGTCCATGATTTTCATAAATTGTTAAAAAGTGACACATGGGCTTGATCCCACTTCTGGTGTCGGGTTATCATTAGGATTTAAGGCGCGTAATGATTCTTCGTTTGGATTAGCCATTGTTTTACAAAACAGAGAATATATTTACGCGAATAAACAAGATTTAACAAATTATTATCAATAATGAGTTTAATAAATGTAGTAACTAATGGATACTTAGAGTAAGGACAAGTGATGATGGTAGAGTTTGAAGTTTAATATATTTTAATAAGTGATATTCAAATACAAGCGGAATACGAATAGAGTTTAGTGTAGTTTAAATCAGCGATATTCAAGCACAAAGGACCGATTTTAATATCGTCGCACATCGATGCACACTCTGTGTCCGCTCAACCTGCACTCTGCTTCTCGACTGACCCTCTGGCCGTTGTAGCATTCTTTTG